AGTGAGTTGATCAGGAGTCAGGGCTCTAAGAAAATGCTGTGTCGGTCCTTTTGGGGTTTGCACACAAACCCTGCTGGCTGCAGCAGTGATGAGTGGAGGTTTCTGGCAAGGCTGGAAAACCAGCTGGAGAACTGCAGGAGGATGGGCGGGAACCCTGTGTGGGTGGTCTCAGCTGACTATCAGAATGAAGTAAGATAGAGGCCCTTCACATGGACAAAGGCAGCCCAGAGGCCACTCACATGCCATTGGTAGGACTTCACTTTAAACCACCCCTCTGGAAGCAGCATCAGGGCAGCCTGACCCCGCCTCCAGACTTGAGATGGAGGCCCCCACTCTCGGCCCTCCCATCCTTGCCTCACCAGATCCCTCTGGACCACTGACCTCCCTGTCTATAAGGAGGGTTCACAGTGCCCACCTGACAGTACTTTTTGGAAGGATTTGAAGGAACATACATAGATTTTAGAGGGAAGAAGGATCTGACCCAAAGACTTCAGAAAATGATATCTGGGCCAGAAACTGTAAAGCTAAAGATGAAAGTAACTACATATAAACATTGTAATCTAGTTGGTACAGTTGTTTTCCATCCAGGTAAGACTTAACAATTCTGAAGATGCCATACATGAACACTGGAGTTGAACAAACATAAGCAAATGGATGGTTGTGGTAGGAACCATCCTCCCAAGTTGACCTGGGAAAAACACAGTGCTCTCCTGACCCCCAGTTTTCCTGACTGGGCCAGGAAGGCGCACAGAACACAGACACTGGTCAGTGAGCTGTCTCACTAGAATATATTTAAATATTATAGAGCAAATCAAAGTCCATTGTTACCATGATGTATAAAAAATTGCCCCAAAATCTAATATGTAAAATGTTTTTTCCTGTGCTCACAGTTTTTGGGGATTTCAAGCAGCACACAGAGGGGATGGCTTGTCTCTTCCCTAAGATGTTCAGAGCCCCAGCTGGAAGACTCAAAGACTGGAAGGCAGAACTATATGAAGGTGCCAATTTTTTTTAACACTCACCCATCTGATGGTTGATTTGTAGCTGCTGCCAGAAACACTTGTATGTGGTGTCTCCATGTAATCTGGGCTCATCAAAACATTGTGGCTGAGTTCAAAGGAGAGTGGACAGAGAACCAGGAGGAAGCCATATCATCTCTTAGGACCTAGCATTGACAGTCACAAAGCATCATTCCTGTGTATTCTATTGGCTGAGGTAGTTACAAAATCCACCCAGGTTCAGGAAGATGGACCCTGTGACTTTGTAAGAGCATGAGGGATGTGATATAGATGGTGTGATCATCTTTTAGAAAATTCAGTTTTCAACAACCTCTGGTAATCTTTCTCCTTTTTCCCGAGGTCAATACTCTTTTCACTTGGGTACAATTATTTTCAGATCTCCTCAGTGTCTTTACATACATAGGCAATGTAGAATTTGGCTGGGGCTTTTTAGAGGAGGGATAGTGTATTCAATTTTTACATAAGTAGAATCATCTATATTTCCTTGCATTTTATGTTTTTTTGGTTTTTTTTTTAGCATGAATTCACTTATAGTACGTGTAGGTGTCTTTCTTTTTATTGAGGTATAGTATTCTACTGTTTGGTCATATTGTGATTTATTTAACCATTTAAAAAAATTTGATGGATCTTAGGAATGTTTCCTGTTTTTTTCCTATTATATACAATGCTGCAATAAACATTTGTTTATGTGCTATTTTATGCTCCTAGTACAAAATGTCACTGTCCCCCAGGAAAGGAAGGATAGTAAACTGCTTAGTAAAAGAATATATCCACATTTAATTTTAATGGGTGCCACTTAACTTCCTTTGAGCAAAGTAAGGTACACTGTTTCCAATAGAGTATAAAAGTGTCCATTTCCTCATGCCCTCACTAGCATTTAGTTTTGTCAATCTTTTTTAACACTTGCCTATCTTATGGGTGAAAAATGCTGTACCATGTGCCATATATTTAAAAAGTGTAGTTCCCTTATTGTAATAAGATCCAACATCTTCTCATATGTTTATTAATCATCGCATTTATCCTCCTGGGAAACAAATGTTCATTTTCTTTGCTCTTTTTATTTTTCAGTTTCACTAAAAAGCAGAGAAATGCAAGTGGAAACAGTGAGTTTTTTTAAACAATGAAGTTAAGAAAGATCCTCAATTCTTGTGAAGACTAATATTGTTTAAGTTGAGAACAGCTACCCTCTAATTACAAATGTTAACATGTTTCTTTTTATATATTTTATTTGTTTGTTTGTTTGTTTAAGTGGAGACAAGGTCTTGCTATGCGGCCTAGGCCGGTCTCGAACTCCTGAGCTCAACTGGTCCTCCCTACTCAACCTTCCAAAGTACTGAAATTATAGACAGGAGCCAATGCTCCTGGATTTCTCCATATTTTTTTTGTTTGTGTGTTTATTTATTTATTTAGGTTCAGGGGGTACACATGCATATTTATTACATGGACATATTGTGTAGTCTTGGGGATTGGGTCTCAGGCAGCCCATTCCCCAGAGAGTGAACATTGTGCCCTGTAGGTAGTTTCTGAACCCTAACTCCTCTCCCCTCTCCCATTTGTTGGTGTCTATTTTTCTTTTTTTTGAGTTAGAGTCTCACTCGGTTGCCCAGACTGGAGTGCAGTGGCCGCTCCCGGCCACTGCAGCCTCGACCTGCTGGGCTCCAGCGATCCTTCCACCTCAGCCTTCTGAGTAGCCGGAATTACAGGCATGCGCTACCACGTCCGGCTGATTTTTTGATTTATTGTAGAGATGAGGTCTCGCTGCCCAGGCGGGTCTCGAACCCGCAGGCTCAGGCAATCCACTCACCTCAGCCTTCCAAAGGCGGGGGATTACAGGTTGAACCACTGAGCCCGGTTTATTGGTGTCTATTAATTTCATCTTTGTGACTCTTTAGCTCCCACACATGAGTGAGCATATGTGATGTTTGATTACCTGAGTCAGTTTACTTAGGATGATGATACCAGTCTCCACCCTTGTTTTTGCAAAGGACACGATCTCCTTTTTTTATGGCTGCATAATCCATTGTGTATATATTCCACATTTTCATTATCCACTGATCAGCTGATGGGTATTTAGGCTGATTCCACATCTTTGCAGTTGTGAATTGTGCTGTGATGAACATGCGGGTGTAGGTGTCTTTTTTTATATAATGACCTCTGTTGCTTAGGGTGAATACCAGAAGTGAGATTGCTGGACCAAATGATAGATCTACTTTCAGTTCTTTTCTTCTCCACACTTTATTTGTTTATTTTTTTCATATTTTAAATTAAAAACATAACTTCTGAACCATGTGAACATATTCTTACCTGTTTCATATGAAGTGTGAATAAAGTCACATTAAAAAAATACTGAATAAAATATTTCAGCACCATTTCTGAGACTTCTTTTCCTCTCAGACATGCTATTCACTTTATTCCTTAAATATTCTAAAATGTAATATTATATCTTTCTGGACTACCATCTCTGTTCCATTGATCTACTTATTTTCTGTGTTGGGACACCCTTGTTTTTATAAGGCAAATCTCTGTATTTATTTGGCAAGAAAGAACACATTTACACTACTTCTTCTGGCAGCCAGGGAACATCATCTCTTGGTTGATGTAGGTGTGATTTTCATCACTCAGTAGAACAGGTGTCTTCCTGCATGCAGTGGCTTCACATTCTGGAGAGGAGTATATTCCTAGGTGCTCGGTACACCTACAACATTGGGATTATTTTCAATACATCACCTTTTTGAACTCTTTAGAATTGGGGTTCAGAAGAATAGAGCTGATGAGACCAATTAAGGGTTACAAAAAAATTAGATAGGGAGAAATGGCAAAGCATGTGTTGGAGGAAGTGTGAAAATGCTAGGGCATCCTGGGACAAAGAAAGATGTCAGGTGGATGTTAATGTCTGGTTGATTGAGGCTAGAGCGTGATTTGTGCAAGTGGAGATGGAAGAGTCCTGGTGGGAGAGAACCAGCCACCTTGGAGTTGCAGAGATATGGGGTTCTTAGAGGAGGCAACTCTGGGAGAGAGTAATACCCTTCCCAGCCCAATGTGTTCATTGTTTATTTATGCATTAAAGTGACAATTATTTTTAAAGTGGTTGTTAATTTGACAAACATTGTTCTAGACACTAGAGATATAACCTAGGAAATGAAGGAAGTCTCTAACCTCCTGAGCTTACATTTAAGAAGAAGACATACAGATAAACCCAGGACACATTCACACAGAGATTGTACAGATTAGAGGTGGTAAATGGTATCATGAAAAATAAAGCAGCCTAAGGCTACAAAGATCTGTGGACCTGAAGAGCACTCTTTGCCTGAGTGTTTCAGATAGGCTTCTCTGATTAGATGAGAGGTTTTATCTGTCTCCTCCAAACCTAATTTTAAACTTTGATTCCTAATGTTGGGGGTGGGGTCAATGAATCCCTCATGAAGGAATGTGGTGACATCCTCCTGGTAATGATTGAGTTCTCATTCTTAGTTCCTGCGAGGACTGATCTTTGAAGAGAGCCTAATACCACTTGCCCTCTCTCTTCCTTTCTGTCTCACCATGTGAGCTAAACACACCAGTTTTCTTTTATCTTCTGCCATGAGTGGAAGCTCCCTGAGGCCTCACCAGAAGCAGATGGTTTTTGTTCAGCCTGCAGAAGTGTGAGCCAAATAAACCTCTTTTCTTTATAAATTACCCAGCCTCAGGTATTTCTTTCTAGCAATACAAATGGACTAAGATTGAGTATATGCATGCTTTCGTGTGTATAAATGTCCGTGTGTGTTTACATGTTTGTGTCTTTATGTGTGTATAGGTGTTAAAGAGTTTGTATGCTTTGTGTTGTTATGTGTCCCTGATAAGAAACATCATGTTGGGAAGCCCTTCCTGGCATCCAGGCTGGGTCTCTGATCTTGCCATGGGTCACAGAACAGACCAATATCACTGATGAGGTCACAGAGTAAAGCCAGGATCCTAGTGACCATGAGGAGCCCAGCATCCACTCTGGCTGGGGCCAGCTGGAGGGCTTCTGGACAGCCCAAGCCAACTTTCACCCAAGAGCTGGAACACTGAGACCCTGGGCGCTGGTTTCAAGTCATGAAACGCTACCTCACAGATCATCAGGGAGGACAAGCACCAACTGATGGGACCACCCTCAGCTTGACAAGTTCTGAGTCCACGGAGGATAATGTAGAATTGTGCTGGCCAGGTAGGTCAAAAGGAAGAACTGGAAGGTACAACAAGTGTGCCTGCTGAGAAGGAAGCTCCTTGGGAGGGGACGGTGCCAGGTTGCCCTGATGCTGTTACCAAAGGGTTATGTTGACCATAAAAACACATGGCATGGGGCAAGAAAATTGATGTTTATGGGATGCTTGGTATAGCATAGGCTCTTGTGATTATATGAGATGGTTCCAAGAGGGATGAGGATAAAAATGTAGAATGTTAATCCTTATGTATTTATTTTAATATGTATTTGAAAAAATGGAATTCACATGTAAATTCTGTGATTTCAGTAGCAAAATTAAAAATTCCTTTATAATAAGTTGAAAAAAGTTAATCTAGAACATCAGTTTGGAGACCACTAGTGTGTGTTCGTGGCAGCCATCTCTCGGAGTCACATGACTCCACTAGTCATTTAAACTCCATGCCTCATCTCCTTGTCCTTGAATGGAAATCATAACAGTGCAGTGTCTTAGGGTTGCTTTTAATATTAAAGGAGTTAACACATGGCAAGCGCTTACCTGGTGATGGCGACACAATAAGTGTTGAAAGAGACATGGCGATGCCCTCCTGGATAAGGTTGAAAGACGCCACCAATGTTGAAAGGGAAAGTGGGGCAGTGTGGCCCAGCCAAAGCACTTCTCATGCTTTGCTTTTTAAATGGGCTTTATTTCGAGGTCATTTACTACACAAACTTCACCAATCTTAAGCGAACAATTTGAAGAATTTTGGTAGATGAGTACATTTAGGTAACCACCAGTGCAATCAAGACACAAAACATTTTCAAAACCTTTAAAGGTCTCCTCGTGCCCCTTCATGGCTAGTCCCCTCTCACTCTGTCCCCAGCTCTTGGCAACCACTGATCTGTATACAGAACCATATACTAGGTGACCTTTTTAGCTAGCTTCTTTTATTTAGCATAATTCATTAGATATTCATCCATATTGTTGCATGTATCAGCAGTTCATTCATCTTATCTGTGAATAGGATTGTAGTGTATGGATGTACCACAATCTGTTTATCTATTCACCAGTTGATGGCCTTTTTGGCTTAGTAAAGTTTTTTGGTAATTACATTAGTACATTATTTGATTATTATCATCACATCCATAATGTATCGATAACTCTGCTTGTCTCTTCACCATTTAATGGCCTGAGTTGAATCACAGTTTAAGTGAAGGCATCCAATATTTGATCCTTATCATTACCCTATGAGGTAGGCATTATCATCATCTCCATTTTGTGAGGACACAGACACAGGGAGGGGATGGCACTTTCAGAGTCTGCAGTTCTTGAGGGTAGGTTGTAGTACTGATATCTAGAACTGATGAAAATGCCCTTTTGCTTCTCAGAGACCATAAAGAGAGAGGGGTCACCTCTGCGACCCGGGTCAGCCATTCCCTGCGAGAAGGACATCTACTTTGCCACCAGGGCTCATGGGATGCTGGGCTGGAGCAGCTCCCCATCGTCGGAGTCCTCCTCCGAGTACCAGTCCTACTCCCAGTACCAGTCTTGCTGTTCCTGCATGTACAATGAGGAGAACGCTGCCCCACAGAGTGTGTGCGCCCTCTACACCCACGTACAGACCGTGCAGGGCGTGGCAGTGGCCTGGGAGACCAAGACCGGCTTTGAGCCAGTCAGCAGGAAGCCCCGAATCCATGAAGTTCAATTCATCAAGAGGCAGAGGCGGAAAGGCTCCTCCTTCGAGATGGCTTCCAACAGTGACCTGTACTGGGACCTGGAAGCCTGCAAGGACAACTACGACCCAGAGCTGGATGATGCAGAGCTGCTGGAGTGCTGCCTCCAGGAACTGCGGGAGCCTCCAGACTGGCTCGTCACCACCAACTGTGGGCTGCGCTGCATGGCCTGCTGCCGCGTCTTCCCTGCCCTGGACGCACTGCTGGAACATGCCCAGCATGGCGTCCGGGAGGGCTTCAGCTGTCAGATCTTCTTTGAGGAGATGCTGGAGAGAAGGCAGGCTCGGGGCCAGAAAAGTGACCGGCAGCTGGAGGAGGAGGAGCAGAGCTCTTCAGATAACAGCGAGGGTTCTCCTCCCCCTGGTGAGGTGCCTCCACCACAGCAGCAGAAGCAATGAACCAGAGGGGAGGTGCCCATCCCTTCCCTCCAGCACCTGGAGCTGCCCCTTCCCCAGCCAGCAGTATCAGAGCCACAAGGGTAGGGAGGGAGGACCAGGGTCAGGGGGAAGGAAGTGAGTGGAGTATAGAGCAGCCAGGGCCAGAAGACTAGAGACAGGATGGGAAGGAGTCCTCCCCCAGGGCACAGCATTTCTATCAGAGTTCATTTCAAAACCCAAATCCAAAGAAGAGGGCTTCAAGTGTTTCTGATGATGGGCACAAGATCTGAAACCCACAAACCTGTAGCCAGAGGGATTTCTATTTTTGCTGGTGGATCAAGTAGGTCCACACTGGCTGTATAAGTAGACATGACTCACAGGAGAGCCAACAGCCCTATTTTTTTTTCATTGTTAAGAATCTGTCAAATGCCCTATTTCTATGTCTTATATCATTGGGATTAAATAACTCAAAATTGATGGCACTAAGTAAATGTGTGAACCATGCTGTTAAGTTGGGCACATAGGAAGGTGCTGTTTCTATAGGTTACAAAATAGCACAGATATCTGGAAATAGGCAGCTTCCCAGGGTTTAGACAGGTCTGTGGAATTCCTACTGATTTATGCATTCATATGTATGCCAACTGTATGCTTAAATGTATAGTTTACCATGAAATTTGTTTTTACTCTCCTACGCATTCTTAGTTCAGGGGGCTTCATTCATTCAAGAAAAACTATCAATCATGGCCCATTGCGTGTTAGGTATGCTGATGGAACACATACCCCAACCTCCCTTACCTCCAGTGAGAGGCTGTTAGAAAAGGCAATTGCAAGGCAAGGAGATGGATCTCACCAAGGAGGTTTGGGGAGCCCAGAGGAAAGGCCTCAAGCTTTTTGATTGGAGGAAAAACTTTCCAAAAAAGGTGATGCTCCTAGGACCAGCAGAATAAGCTAGACAAGGGTTACCCAACCTCAGCACTGCTGACATTGTAGGCTAATAATTCTTTGTTATGGGGTCTGTCCTGTCTGCTGAAGGATGTGTGTGAACAAGTTTGTGTGTGTGCACAAATACACGTGAGCATGTTTGTGTGTGAGCCCGTGTGTGTGTGTGTTGAATGTGCTGTGAGCATGTGTCTGCATGTGTCCGTAGAGGTTTAAGTGAGAAGGGGAAAGTTAAGACGCTGTCAATTCTAAATGCTGATGGCACATCTAAGTAGAGATGTTGAGTAGGAAATGGTTCATAATTTAGAGCCCAGAAGACAAGTCTAAATGGGAAATATCAATGAGAAAGTTAATAGAACATAAATGGTAGCATATTTAAAAACCACAACTGTGAATGGAAGACACTAATTGAGACCTGGGGTAGAGTTAGTGTGTACCCTGTGAAGTAGGTAGGAATGAGTAGGAAGCATTTCTTAGGAGTTTTATTCAAAGTCAACAAAAGTAAGGAAACATTGTTTTCAGGAGTGGTGAGCAGTGTCAAATTCTAGGGAGAGTTGGAACGAGCTGAGGGCCAAATAGTTCTTGTTTCATTTGGCACATCAGGCTGCTGATTGTTCTGATGAGAACAGGTTTGGCAGCTGAGAAGGTCAGAGGTCAGATGAGCACTGGTCAGTCATGCACATGAGACAAACTACCAGAGGCAAGCATTAGGCATTTCTGCAGGCAAATCTGTTTGAAAGGGAAAGCAACAATGGCTATAGGGACAAAATAAAATATTTTTTTAAAAAGATAAAGATGTGAGAGAGAACAAGCTTAAATACTTATGGAAATGATCCAGTAGAAAGGAAGAGACTGACAACGCAAGAAAAAAAAATAGGAAAATCTAAGGAAAGGAGCCAAGCAGGAGAGGGCTGAGCAGACATAGAAAAACTGGGCTTGAAAAGAGCTGCTCTGTGCTCCCCCCCCCCCCATGTAGATGGACAGTTAGGACACATAGGGCTTAGGAGCCAAAATTATGGAACTTGAACTTTCCCACCTCATAAAAACTACAAGAAGCTCTGAAGGGATTTGAAGCAAGTCAGGTTTACATTTGTAAAGATTACTCTGGTAAACAGGGTCAAGAATGGATGGGAGCGAGCAAGACTGGGATCAAGGGGTCCAGCTAAAGAGCTGGTGGCCGGATGAATTCAGGGGAAATTTAGAAAATTAAAAACATAGAATGTGGCTAGTGGATGCTGGGGGTGGTGAGAGAAAGTTGTCTAGAATAACCTCCAAGGTTTTTTTCTGGGTTGTTGAATGTTGGCGCCATTTGTGAATAATGAATCACCTGTGAAAAAAAGATCTGCTGGGACGCTAAGTACACTTTTGAATAAGTTGAGTTTGAGACAGCAACTTTCCAAAAGGAGCTAGTCAGAGGGGGTTGGGGCTCGGATGGAGAAAGATTTGAGGTCACTGCAAATGTGTGTTCAGCTGAGGCCATGGCGCTTTACATGGCCTCACGTGGGATGTATTCTCTTGGTTCAAGTGCAGCAGGAAGTCATGAGGTCATCTAAGAATGTGCATCAGCTGTAGCAATGATAATTTATCAGCCTTTTCGAGGTGCAGCAGAAGTTACAGACCTTCTAAATCTAGTGTGAAAGGGGTTGGAGGAACCACAGGAAAAAAGAGGGACCAAACTTTGTCAAACTCTTCTCAGAAGAGTTATGGTATTTGAGAGGGCTTAATAGGCAGATAGAATCCAAGGACAATCTAACGGAAGTGGAGGCTGCTGAGCCAGAAATAGTGAATGCTAATACGGAAAATAGTTTTATTAAATAAATAAATAAAATATGCGAGGAAACTAAAACGAGGTGTGATATCTAAACTTTGGAATTTCAACCTTTAAAAGACATGTGTCTTTATGTGTTAAATTCTGATAGTCTAAGGGCCAAGCATTGTTTCAAAAACTTTATGAATATTAAATCATGAAATGCTCTCTACAGTCCACTGAGATAGGTCCTATTATTACCTCTGTTTTATAGATGAGTAAGCTGAGATCTTGCTAAGGTCACATGGCTGGTGTATGGCAGAGTACAACTTTATACCCAGGCAGCCCGGCTCTATGCCTAAGCTCTACCCATCACACTGAGATGCAAACTTTAATGCAAACACAGATGCAAGGTATTTAGGAAAGCAAACATGTCAGCTCCACAGACTGTATTTTCTTTAGATTAAGTCGCAACAGCTGGAGATCAAGGGAAAGATAACGGGTGTTCAGAACAAATGAAGAATGACAACAACCTCGGGTAAGCAAACTATTAATGTCAAGGATGCCTTCAGCTGACATAGATGGGGGAAGAAGAGAATGCCATTATTCTTAAGGTATCAACTGAATTAAGCATTCATTTGTGGTTGAAACATATCACTTTGCAGGGACCTGGGACCTCCACAGAAAAAAGTAACGGGAGTCCTTCCAGAGGGCTCAGGGACCTCAAATATTTTGGACCATAAACCACTTAAAACCCTTTATTTTCCCAAACCAGAGAAGAAGATGGAACTGATTTTATAAAAATTACGTAAACCTGATAACAAAGCCTGTCAAAGATAGCACTTATAAAAAGTAAGCAATAGATCAATCTCACTTATTAACATAAAATAATAGTTAATCAAATTTAACAAGAGTACAAGAAAGAGTAATTCACCATGATTGAATGTGGGTCATCTTTTGACTAAAGATAGTTTAAAATTATTAACTCTAGCAGTACTTCGTACTGAAAGAAAAATCTTATGATTATCTCAATATATATGAAAAGTAGGTAATAATTAGAAATAAACCCATGCATTTATGTCTAGCTGATTTTCAAATAAGGGTGCCAAGATAATTCTATAAGGGAAAAAAGAGTCTTTTCAGCAAATTGTACCGGGATAACTGGATATCTGCATGCAAAAGAGCAAAGTTGGGTTCCTACCTCACACCATATACAAAAATTAACTGAAAATGTAAAAGATCTAAATGTAAGAATTAAAATTATAAAACTCTGGCCGGGCTTGGTGGCTCAGCCTGTAATCCCGTGCTTTGGGAGGCCGAGGTGAGTGGATTGCCTGAGCCCGCGAGTTCGAGACCCTCCTGGGCAACTTGGTGAGACCTCATCTCTACAATAAATCGAACAATTAGCCGGGTGTGGTATTGAGCGCCTGTAGTTCCAGCTACTTGGAAGGCTGAGGTGGAAGGATTGCTGGAGCCCAGCAGGTTGAGGCTGCCATGGCCGGGAGTGGCCACTGCACTCCAGTCTGAGCGACAGAGTGAGACTTCAACTCAAAAAAATAAAAATAAATAAATAAATAAATAAAATTATAAAACCCTTAGAGGAAACAGGTGTAAATTTTGAGAATTAAAAACATACATTCACACAAAAACTTGTACATAAATATTCATGCCGCATTATTCATAATACACATAATAAAAATTAAAAAATAACCTATATATTTGTCAAATGATGAATGGGTAAACAAAAGATGAAATAGTAATACAATAAAATATAATCCAGCCACAAAATGAAATGAAAAACTGATTCATGCTATATATGGATGAACCTTGAAAATATTAAGCAAAGTGAAAGAAGTCAGACACAAAGGACTAATAATGTATCTGAAATATCCAAATAGGCAAATTTATAGAAGCATAAAGCAGATTAGTGGTTGTCAGGGATTCAGGGGAAGGGAAGAATGGGAGTGACTGTTAGTAAATATGAGATTTCTTTTGGGGATGATGAAAATATCCTGGAATTAGTGTTCATGGTTACATAACTTTTGAACATATTGTAAACCACTGAATTACATACTTTGAAAGGCTGGATTCCCTTATGTGAATTATATCTCAATTTAAAAGGTATACAATAAATATGACGACCATCTCTGTTATAAATTCCTTAGAAACTAAGAATAAATTCTTTTCAGATGGTAAAGAATTATATCTCAAACCAAAGGGGAAAAAAATCTACAGGTGCTCACTTTGAAATCAGGTAAAAAATGTCATGTTTTGCAATTTATAATTGACATTGTTCTGGAAGTTACAGCCAAGTCATAACATACAAAAAAATGTT